TTTGGCACAAAGCTGGGCAAGTATCGACTTGTTTGAGTGCGAGTACGAGTGTGAGTGCAAGTGCGAGTACGAGTGTGAGTGCAAGTGCGAGTGCGAGTGCGAGTGCGAGTACGAGTGCGAGTGCGAGTGCGAGTGTGAGCCTATGCAATATATTACAAACGTTGAAAATGGTTGAGACAGGACGGGGAGTATTTTTGCCGTTCTCCCACTATATTTATTTAGGTATCATCAAAGAGAAAGTAAAAAATAATATGAATACAAGAGTGTTAACCAACACGTGATATCGCAATCAGATCTTTCTCAAGTCAGAATGCAGTACCCATCTTTTGAGGATATGTGGTAGTTTGTTACCACTTATAAAGCAGTATTGATAGCTTATATTCATAAGAAAAATATGATTTAAAAATGTTTTTAAGTAGTATAAGCGACTTCAATGAGAAACTATCATCTTTCAATAATAGCTCAAACGACAGAAAAGAAAAAAAGCATGAGTAAAAGCAGGTATTTACTTATCAAATACTATATTTCTCGCATCCAGTCGACATTTGCACACCGGACGACAATAATAGAGAACACAAAAAATAATGAATCATTGCAATCAACAGAATAAGCAAAATTACAACCATAGACTATTCGTTTTCACCTTGCAAGCACTCCATTTTGCACTAGTTATTCTTTTCTTTGTTATTTATAGCTCGTTTAGATGAATTTTCTTGACACCAGGACTCAAATATTCAATACATTTTTGAAAATCTACAATAACTTACAAAAGTATTATGATGCTAGGGTGAGGGGTGGGATGAGTCTAGCAACCATTATCACGATTTCATCCCGGCTACAGAAACCATCAGATGGTTTTGACTTCGTATACGTTTCGAATGTTTTGGAGATCGATTAGCGGAATGAATGTGAATCTGAAATATATATTCAGAAAAATAAATTAGAATTGCTAATAGTGTCACTGAAAATTGTTATATTTGTATTAGATGTTTATTTATTGAAGGTGAATCTCGGTATACCAAGATCCAGATTTCGTGTTCCACAAAAAGAACACTCATCAGTTGATTTTGACTCGTAGTCGTATTTGTTTTAAATGATTGCGAAGAATCACAAACGAAATGCATATATCTATAAAGAAATCTAACACAAAGTTAGAAAACAATAGGTATCAATTAAATGACAGTATGAGTCTCGAAAGTATAATTGAATTCATCCTCAGCTATCGAGATGCGGTAGAAGCCACCTGTGGCCAACCTTTCCGAGTTCACCTGCAGCTATTGCGCAATAGTGAGAACCGCCTGTATAAAGATTCCACCTTCACCTTCAGTAAGAGAAATATCCTATGTGTCAAAATTTCCGTGTTACCCTCAGCAGTGCAGATTCCTTGTAATGGGTCTATGACGATTGTGTGTAAGACAATTGTGTGTAAGACAATTGTGTGCAGACAATTGTGTGTATAGACAATTGTGTGTAAGACAGATGTGTGCAAGACAATTGTGTGTATGGACAATTGTGTGTAAGACAATTGTGTGCAAAATGAGGGTGTGGGTGTGGGTGTGGGAGTGTGGGTGGGTGTTGATGTGGGTGTGGATGTGGATGTGGGTGTGGCTGTGGGTGTGGGTGTGGGTGTATGGGGCGGGTGTGGGTGTATGGGGCGGGTGTGGGTGTATGGGGCGGGTGTGGGTGTATGGGGCGGGTGTGGGTATGAGTATAAGTATGGGTATGATGTTTCTTTACTCTTACGCACACTCACACCCACACCCACACACCCACATCCCACACCCACACCCACACCCACACCCGCACCCACCCACACCCACACCCACACCCACACCCACACTCACACCCACCCACACTCCCACACCCACACCCACACCCACACCCTCATTTTGCACACAATTGTCTTACACACAATTGTCCATACACACAATTGTCTTGCACACATCTGTCTTACAC